TCTCTACTAGGCATACTATGTCTGCATTCCATTTCTTCAACAAAAGATAGACCGTTTCTCTTTTCTCCTTATCATGTAGTCCCCTCACGTTCCAACAAATGCTTTTCAGATTCATTGAGTATTACTTAAAGCCCTCCTACCCTTGCTTCTTCCTCCACTACTAGATTCCCCTTTAAAACCCACTCCAAATTTTAAGGCTTTTAACTCCCTTTCACCCTACTTACCAGGAGAGGCATTACTTCTAGAAGAAGGCTGCTCCTTAGGTCTCCCATTTTCTATTCGTAGCAGCAATTCCAATAAATTTATCTTCAATTTCATAAGATTTCATCCCCAATTGCTTGCTAATCTTCATCATATTCCTCTTTAGCCATTTTGATGCTTCCATTTGATTCAACCTCTCTTGTATATTAATCCTCGTGCCACTACAACCTCAAAGTGTCTTGAACTTCTGCCACCGCAATCGGATCTATAGAGATTGGAAGGTCTGATTCAGTTTCACTATTAGAGAAGAAACATATCGACCAGCCTTCACTATCCTCAAATACCCCATTAGTATCATCTTCTTTCTCAGAGTACTCTGACCTTTGGCATGTATTTTCCACCATGTTTGTGTCATCTTCTTGCCCGGGATTCTCAATCCCTAGGCTTGATTCTTCTTCCCTTACACATGGATGCTCCAAATTTCTTGAATCTCCATTGCCTCTATCTTGAACCTGGACTAGGGTTAAAGTCTTAATTTTCGAAGTATGGGATTCTTCCGGGAATAACTCGACTACTAGTCTCAAGGGATCGTAATGTGTAAAGTCTTCAGACACTACACGGTTAAAAGGGTTTTGTTTTAAACTGCATTGGTTAATCCACTTGTGCCTAAAAATAAGTTTTCCATGTTGCCCTTTTTTGGCCCAACTTTATTCGACTTTCGATTTGGGCCTGAACAGACAGAAATACCATTCATATCTCCTGTTCCATAGTTATTATTAATCTGCTCAACCAATTTTGACGGACCAGGTATATCATTCTTACTCAACTCTTTCTCTTTCTTTGACACGTGTCCATTAATCATTTTTGGATTAAATTCAGAAATTACTCCTTTGTCTAGCATGCGAGAGTCACACATAACCCCTCTCGAAGCTTTTTTCTCCGTGGAAACACACGCAAACATTAATTCCTCCATCTAGGGACCATGTACCTTCTAGGGCACACTCCGGTGACTCCTAGTCAGATTCTGATCAACTTCAACCACCCACGATGGGGATTCCACCATATAGGAAATGTGAACAGTAAATTATCAACAAAGAACTCCAATTTTGCCGGCGGGATCTCGTCAGACATCTTAACACAAATTCTTGCCCATCTCAGATGTTTTCTTTGTCTTGTGTCTTCATCAATGTCCAAAAAACCTCCAAACCTGTCTCCAATCATTCTAAAAATATTCTACGACCACAAATGTGATGGGAAACCAAATAGTTTTATCCAAACATGATTGGGCTTGCAATTACTCCGGTAACATGTTGAAACAGAGGACCACCGTTCCAACCTTAACTCTTTATCGTAAAAACACCATTTTTCCATCTCAATTCTCTCATCTTCACTGTGTGATGGGAACTTAAAAGAGCATATTCGTCATTCAAATCTATCACCTTAACACCTGATGGGACTTTCCATACCTTATTTGCCCAGTTCTGTAACTCCCAGCAAAAAAAAAAAATTCATATCACCTTTGAAGGATCCTAATAAGCACTTATTGTGATATTCTACCCTGCTTTGTACGAAACCTGCATCAATCTTGAACCGACTCTTGTCTAGTGAATTATCATCGATTATCTTGATTTTATCTCTTGGACAAGCCTCCTTTTGCATTGTCAGCATATAGCTCCTCTCCTGGACATTCCTTATTGATATGTTGAAATTCATGGGCTTTGGCGATGAATGGATAAAGTGCATCCATTTTTGCTTCTCCTCTCCCGGACATTCCTTATTGATATGTTGAAATTCATGGGCTTTGGCGATAAATGGATAAAGTGAATCCATTTTTGCTTCTCAACAATGAAGTTATCAGTTATTATAAATGGTTCCTTGAAAGGTCTCTTTGAAACACAAAAGGGTTTAAGGCAGGGAAACCACTTTCCTTTTCTTTTTACACTGGTTGTGGAGGGCTTCGCTATAACGATGACAACAACAGATGTTCACATCTGGATTAAAGGTCTTAATGCTAATGTGAGAAATCAAGGGACTTCTCCATGAGGATGATTCTCTTATTTTTTGCGATCGGATAGAGACCAAATACTTTATCTCTGAATGATTCACTTATTCTTTGAACCCGTGTTCGGCCTCCACATAAACTACACAAAGAGTGTTCTATATCCTGTGAATGAGGTGAGGTACCCAACAATAGATTGCTGAAATTTTGGGACGCAAGATATGGTCTTCTCCTACCAAGTATCTTGGCCTTCAGTCGGGAGCTAAATCTAAAGCTACTGCAATCTGGGATAACATCTTGGCAAAATGTGAAAAAGAGTTGTCATGCTGGAAAAGGAAATATCTCTCTTGGTGGAAGGGTTAATTTACAGTGTGTTAAGCTTGCTGCCTACTTATACCATGTCCTTATTCCCTCTGCCTGCTTCAGTGGCTCACAAATTTGAAAAAATGCAAAAGGATTTCCTGTGGAAGGAAAAAACAAGGAGAACATGACCTTCAACTTGGTTAATTGGGGAGTGTTTACTACATACAAACGGGCAGGAGGGAATGGGAGTCAAGGACTTGAGGACTCAATCTTTAAGTTTGCAAAACAAATGCTTTGAAGATTCAACATGGAAGTTGGGCGTTTGTGCAGGAATGTTGTTGTTCATAGAATGGTCTTCTTAACCCGGAATAACCAATTAATGACTCCCTAGCTTTTGTGGTATCTGGAAACCTGTGATAGTGCAATGGAGTTCCTTTCAACTCAACAGTTCTGTGGAAATTGGAAATGGTATGAAAGTGAGATTTGGGTAGACCCATGGCCAGGCCAATCACCTCTAAACGATCAATATCCAACAGTTTTCACTGTGGGGCAAGACTACTGTTTTGAGAAGGAACTGTGGGGCAAGACTATGAGGCCTCAGTTTCATGTTGCAGATCAAAACAGGGTTGGAATATCATATTTTGACGGAATATACATGATTGGGAAATGGACAATCTATGCTCACTTCTATGCAACTTCATAACCCCCCATCCTTAATGCCAAGAACTGGTTCTCTATCCTGGAAATGGGATGCCAGAAGGAAGTTCTCTGTTAAGTCATGGTACCAGAAACTAGAACCCTTCCCCCATGGACTACTGGCCTTGGAATATATTTGGAAAAAGTCTTTGAAGGTGGAATGCTTCACTGTGGGGGAAGCTCATATCTTGCGCACAACCACCTCAGAAAAGGGGAATTAACATTTGCAGCAGGTGCCCACTTTGTGAAAACCATAACGAAGATACCAGACACCTCTTCCTCCACTGTTCGTCCACATTACAGATATGGAGCTTCATTTTCAACATTCTGGGAGTACACAGGCAATGCCAAGGACAACAATGGACATGATACAAAGCTGGCACTTCAAAGGATTTGGAAAGTCAAAACTAAAGATCTGGAAGTCTTTGCCCTCAGCAATATGTGGACTGGTGGATTATCTGGAAGGAGAGGAATGCAAGAATCTTTTATAGCAAAAAGGAATCTGTAATTAGTATTAAGTACAGATGTCAATCGTCAATTGTTTTTTGGTGCAACATGGCGATTGCAAGTGATATAGATGCCATTCACTTCTTAGGCTCATTGCACAATTTGTGAGGTAGCTATCATGTACAGTTTTTGACAGCATCTTCTTGCTGCTAATCTTCAATAGACTACTTTTAGCAAATCAAAAAAAAAGTACTGAGTAACTCTACTCACCAAGACTTAGGCAGATGAGAAAAATCATCTGTGTTTTTGACTAAACTGAGATTTGAACCCTGGTCTCTCATGGTTTTTATCTCACTTTATTTACCGGTAGGCCATATCCTTGGGTTGCAATTGTTGTAATTAGTCTAGCGATGTTGCTTCACTTCTTTTTTCTTTCTTTCTTTTTTCCTTTTTCTTTTTTTTGGGGTTATGGTGCTTGGCTGAAGTTTATGGATAATAAGCATTAGAATGATAGTGGAGATACATCTAGAGATCCGATATCAAGCTGGAAATCATGTTAATACATCGGTCCTAATTTATATGACTTTTCGTTGTGAAGCATATGTATACTACCTGATGTGATGTTTACTATACCAAACAAACTTTTCAATAATTATTTATATACTATTTTATAAGTAAAAGTCGAGGGTCTATTAGAAATAGTCTCTCAAGCTTCAAGGTAGGGGTAAAGTCTGCGTACACACTACCATCCACAAACCACACTTGTGGGACTATATTGGGTTTGTTGTTGTTTCTATAAGTAATAAGAGAACAATTTTTTTCCTCCACCACTACTCATATAAAAATATCAAATTAATTTCTTAAACCTCCTGCCTAATTAGATGGTGTCACATAAATTGGACTAGAGAAATATTTTATTGCCTAGGCGTCACGAAACAAAGAGAACCTTTTCTTCTGTTAAAAAACTTTACAGCTTGTTTGGATTGTTGTTACATGTCGTTTCATAATGTATCGTATTGTATTGTTTGATGAATACAATGTTTGGATAGATTGTATCGTTCGCTGTCGTTTCATGATGTCACCCACTAACAATATGAAGAATAAACTTGCAATATTACTAAGAAAAAATAGGATACGGAGTAGAATTATTATATAAAAATGTAGGATAAAGAATAAAATATGATTGTTTAATAATAAAGAAGGGCAAGATGAATGGAAAAAAGCAAAGAAACGACGCTACTACACCAAATCCGCCGTTTCACAAAAGTGGCACTTTTCGTCGTTACATAATGATTGATTTAACGATATGATACAATAAAACTAAAGTAACAATCAAAACAAACATTGTATTTAAATAAAGTAACAATATGATAGGTAACAACCATCCAAACAAACAGTTAGTGACAAGTTGAACCCCACGGGTGGAAGGAGACTTATCCGACTTTCTTTTTAGCATTTTGTACACCACTTCTTTGTAAGTTTTCTTTTCCTCAACAGATTGTTTTATTTGAATATGTTTAGTAGCATTCAATGATGTTCAATCGTATTTTATTCTATTAATTTCATCCATAATAAAATCTCAAAAGTATGTTTAAGGGCTTTAGGTGATGTTTTCTAAAATTCAAACCCAGAAATTCTAAAACAATTCCAAAACCACTTTCACAAAAGTCAGTCCAAACACTCAATTGTTTTCAGATAAATAGAAACAGAATCAATTCTCCCGGAGAAAAAAAAAAGAGTATTTTCTAATTTCAATAACATGTATGTTTTGTATGATGGGTATTCCTCATAAGAGGTTATTCTTGGTAAACCAAATGCTACTATATTAATGATGGGACATACACTCAGTAGCCCAGTCTTACCAAACACAGATGCATCATTATCCAACTGAATTTGCTAGCGAACACACCCTTCTTTTTTACTTCAAAGTATATTTGGCTTATCTTAATCTTCCAGATTTGATGAATTAGTTAATAGGTAAACATTGGCAAGAATATTTAAATAGACATTTGAACTTTTCTCTTTTGCATCATTTTTCTCTTTCAACGTCTTTCTTCCTCATAGCGGAAACCAGATGCCTGATTTGCTCGAGCACACCCTGAAATTATTTTTTTGTTATTACTTTTTTCCCCATTTTTGCAGAGTGCTTGATCACATCCACAGCCTAAAATGCAATGCGTTCGTCGTCTCAAGCAAGCGACCCAAGGAAAACTCACCATATTCTAGGAAACTTTGAGCAAATTTTTTCATTTCTTACACCAGATGTTCCACTTCTCTTTAAAAGAGGGCTTCCTGGTTCACTGGTCAAGCATGTCCATCATTGAGGTTGGGGGCCGAACCTCAACCTGAACATTTAGTTTCCTTATCAAAACCAAAAAAAAAAGGATGTTTCACTTGTCTTTACTCCATTACTCATTTTTTATTTTG